GGTGAATATTCGCCAAAATGGAATTCGCGAAAAACAATTATTGTTATATGTTTCAGTTAAAATAATAACTATTTGCAAAATGTTTGAAATAGAGAATTGAATTATTAGGCATGATAAAAAGTCAGATGTGCCAAGCTATATTAGCCAAGTGATAAGTGTGACGAACTTTGTAATGTTAAGTTAGGCTGAGTATTTTCGACACTTTCTTATTGATCGTTCAGTCAAAAGAAATGCTTTTATATAACAAAAACAAAATGAGAATACAACTGATTGTAAGTGAATATAAAATTAAGCTGGTAAAAATTGAACTTGTTCTAGGTGGCATCACATTCAACCTGGAGACTAAAGTATGAACTTATTTTTTCATCAGATTTACCAGACAAAAACAATGACGTACACAATTTGTTGTTATCACGTAAGCAAATAAAAGTCAACTGTTTGTTTGTACCGACAACAGGTATGTATACCCATCAGATATTATGACATTTTCTCATATTGTTTATACCTAAGGAAAATCTTGATAAGTTTATAGACTTCCGTATAATACCACCAGTAGTTTGTCTCTATATGTATGGTTAGGCTGTGACCCCAACACAAGGATGATACTCAAACAGTACCACATGTTTTGCACACTTGTCATCATATCTGATTGAGTATTTAAGCTTGAACCATTTCTTCGAACTTGTACGTGGTAAGTTGCACATGATTATTCATTCTAATTCTTTGTTTCAGTCGTCGGTAAGGTATTTGGCGAGGGCTTCCACTGTTTTTTGTTCTGTTTGGGGTACCTGAAATTACAAAACACGTCACATGAGATATAAATTGAAAAGTAATACAGAAAAGAATATGCATGAACATGCCAACCTTCAAGATCTAAATTGGAACAACACAATCAAACTCAATACGAAAAGATAAAAGGTGGAAAGAATGAGATACCAAGATACACAGAAGGACATCACGAAACTCAAGTATCATTTAACTGTAATAGTTGTGACAATCTTTGTGATGTCTCCTGCTTTATAGAAAGGAAAGTCATTTACAAAGCAGCTATGACACTTTTCAGTTATCAAACTATGTGAAGGGTGTATCGAAATTGATCTATTTAAGGAATGTTTTTTTATTTTTTCAACATTTATGAGGTCATAACAACAATGGGTTTATGGACATATTGAATGAATCGCGTTAGCGATTCATGTAAAATATGTCCAAAAACCCATTGTTGTTATGACCTCATAAATGTTGAAAAAATAAATATCATTCCTTATATTTACATTGACGAATCCTTTCAGTGGATCGATATAACAACGAATAAAACAAATAAACAGGGTTTGTTCCTGCTTATACACGGGTGCAACGCAGTGGCGAGAACAGTGTTTTTTCGCGGGGAAATGTGACACTATCGTGAGAGATCTTAGCAACCGTCAACAACAATAACACAACAAAATGTAGTTCCATATTCAATGTTTATTTGTAGCACAGGACACGTGAATACGTGGATATTTCACAAAGCACAGTTCAATAATATTTTAAGATGTAAGAATTAAGCATCTAGGTCGGTCGTTCCGAGTGAGTAGTTTTTGTAGTGTATTACTACGCAGTGTGATCAGGTTACTATCAGTTCCCACGTGCTGAGATTCTATGAACACCTGTGTTATGCATTTATGAATGTAATTTTTGTCAACGGGTCTAAGCATATAGAATGTAAATATTTATGTATGATGTTATGCAAGGAAACAATATTCATCAAGCGAAAAGCATTTTTGTTTTTGCTTTTATTCTGCATATTGTCCTTTTATAACAATTAACTCGCACGGAAATCTCAAGCAATTTTCCAGAATAAAAAAAAAATGGGCTTGAGCACAGGACCTGAGTTTGAGCATGAGAACGGTTTCGTGAATACGGGCCAAGTTTTTGTTTTTGTCGTAAATTTGTGACGTCACTGTACTGCTTCTTGTGACGTCCTGTTCGTGATACTGCACATAGTAATGGGGTCATACTGCATATTAGTATACGATAAAAGCCATAAAGGTACGCATTAATAACCCAGGACATTGACGACAGGCTGTCATGTTTTGTCCAGTACGTGGCTAGATAGGTAGCCGGTAAACGACCCATCTTATCGGCAGAGTAAAGTAATGTATTTCGTTATATAGTATCACTGTCACTCACAGTGTTGTTAGCTTGGTAACCAATAACAGGAACCAAACAAAATGTATTGTCAGCTTCCTGGTTACTGTTATCGGTATATGTGTACGATTGTTAGATTTAAACAATTACAGAAACATCGAAAACACCACATAAAACGTATTGTTAGCTTCTTGGTAACTGGTCTCAGTACACCTGTATCATTGTCAGATTTAAACAATTACAGGAACATACTTTTAAACAATTACAGGACCATGGAGAACACCAAACAAAAAGCATCGTCATCTTCCTAGTTATTTGTATCAGTATACATGCACGTGTTCCATTGTTAGCTTTAAACAATTACAGGTACATGGAGAACACCAAACAAAAAGTATTGTTAGCCTCCTAGTTTCTGTTATCAGTATACCTGTATCATTGTCATTTTTAGACAATTACAAGAACATGGTGAACACCAAGGTATACAGTAATGTTACCAGCATACATGTATAATTGTTAGCTTTAAACAGTGACAATAACATCAATAACACCAAAATGATACCTGGCCAATCCACACAAATATGAGCGATTTAACCTAGTGTTTAATAAGGGTAAACGTTTCCTGACTCACATTTTGTACTCTAGTTAAACGGTTTATAGCCAGGTCCAGTAATGTATACCACTAACGATCTAAGATCTGTAATCCAGCCAGACATTAGCACAGTTGTAAACCAAGCAATGATCGTGATAAGTGAAGAATAAAGCCTCTCTAGTAGAATCGTATATACACAATGGTAATAAGTTCCAAGTGTGTGGTAATGTTTAATGTAATTAGAGATATCTTATACTAATTAATACACTGCAAATCACTCATTTCGCGTGTACATTATTTCACGAATTGAACCTGAAGATTTTGTTCTCAAATAATTAAATTTGCCGCCAAAGAGGGTGTTATATTCTATTTCGATGTTAATGGTTATTATTCATGAAATAAATATTTTTGGAATTTTTATATTTGTTAATGACTTTTGTCGCAAATTATCAAAAAAAAAAATATCTTGCGAAAATAATGTTATTTACAATATTTGATTTAAAAACAAATTATTTATTAGCTCATATACTTGAATCCACTCTAGTGTTGTCACTGTTCACTAAATAAACCACCTAATATACGTCACTTTACGTAGATTTTCCCAAACATTTACTGATCTAAACGACACAGAGTAGATTCAAGAAAAACAATAGGGACAAAATGAGAAAAACATCAGAAGAAACGGAAATCTTCACAATGAACCGACAATCGTCCTAAGGCTATACTGGTGATCCCGTCAGCACATGTGGTACCCGTCAATAGATCAAACTATGGTATCAAGATACGTTTGAAAGCACAATTAGTTGAAATAGTTTATATTATTATCATATTGAATGACAATAATTAATCCTAGAGCATACTTGTCCAGAAATCTGGGCCCATAATCATGAATCAGTACTCTTGCTCAAGCATGGACTGTGTGTGGCGATTTACTTTTTTGTAACTCGCTTAAATCAACGCGGCCAAAAAGTCGATCGGAAACGGTATTCGACTTAAAGTATCTACAAAGTTCTTACAAATCATTGGCAAACGGTGTTTTCTTTACACAAATTATCACCTTAACAGGGACTGGTTTTGAACACAGAATAAAAGTTTTACTCTTTAATTGATGTCATTAATGTTTAATTACCTGTTCAGCTATATTGTCTATTCTAGCGAAGACCTTGACGTCGGGTACGAGATCTTTCCGGAGTTTCTGTGGAGGTCTTGGAGGCGGAAGAGACACCGTTGACTCCTCTTCTGTATCTTTTTCAGCATCAGTCTCATCTTCTGTGGGTGGTTCTGTCCCCTTTAAATCACTTATTTCTAATTTTGCTGAGTCAAAATTAGCTGCGTCCTGATCATTTAGATCAACATCGGTGAATTCTGATTCGTCTTGTTTCAAATTTTTATCCTCTACGATAACTGTTTCTGTGGTGATGGTCACATTGCCGTTGATATCATCCAATACACCTTTGTCATTTTCTAGTGATTTCCCGTAAGCCACTATATCCGTGATAACAATATCGCTGTTTTTATCGTCATTTTCTATGTTGTATGTAAGATTCTTTGATTCACAACAACCCATTTTGATACCGATACACTCCGCCGTACTTTATATCAGATATCCTTCAGTGGATTGGTTCGTATTCAAGTGTTGAACTAGTTGAATTAATCCGTTTTCATAAGTGTCACTTTTCCGTATTCAACAATATGTCGGTAGAATTGATTCGTATTTAATGATATAATTATCGAATTAATTCGTTTTCAAAATTTACGTAGTCATCAGTACAGATGTTGAACTGGTCTTCACTGTATGCGTCCGGTTGTCGATGTAAGACAGACACTGTATTTGATGACAATGTAAATCTCCGCAGGATTAAAATAAACTATTGGTAACTGTAAAACCCGTCTGCCCCATCCAATCGCTGTACGTCGATAGATCACAGGTAAGTCTATCTGTATCCGGCGTGTAATTTTATCTTAATTTCCTTAAAGTATGAATCACTGCGCTATCACCGACGTGTTAAAGGATATAAAACCTTACCTTTCCTAATTAAGAGTTTTAAAAACCAGTATGAAATAAAAGGACTTGTCTTGTTGATAGTCTGTCTATATATGGCTGTTCTATCGCTGTGTATAACGGTGGTACATCTGTACAAATAATAACTCGGTCGAGGTAAATATATTGGTTATATGCAATATGAAACGTTGAATTGACTGACTCGATTACGTAGCTTATATAATACTACGTAGATAGTCCTGTAGAAACTGGGATGTAAAATACCATTGGTTATTTACTTACATCGATGACGTCACTAATCTACATAAAAACCCACAACTTGTCATCACCGGTACACCTTCCGTTGTCTTTATATAGGTAAATTTTGTATATCCTTGTAACGATCCATCACAAATCGGAGCACTGTTGTTATTGTCGGTTCTTAATTAACACTGAAATCCTCTCCTATAGGCGTGTCTGAATGACGTATCCACATACGTAGGACGCTGACAGGTGAATCAGAACGCGGCCGACTCGGTCCGAAATCTGCATATCTGTGCAAGTTATCGTCAAATTATTCCCGACCCTTTGGCCGAATACACCGTACCTTGTCCACCTGTAAGCTCATAATATTTCATATAAACAGAACTATTGGTTGTTAGTGAAAGTTTACGGCACTAGGTGACACATGGCCGAAGGCGGCGTGGTACGAGTGTGTGTATACAGGTGTAGTTAATGGTGTGTGCTCAAGTGTGCCTTTGTGTGTCTAACACCGAGGCTGTCTTGTGTCCCACGATGAAATCAAACACCCCTATACTCTTTCTATAGAAAACCGGTTTGATTTTATACACCCGTTTAGCTCTTCACTACATTCCACGGCATGACGTTGTTATTTAAAAATCTACCTGAGACTCGTGATATGAAACGTATTGATTTACTCTGTTCGAGTTATTCCTTCCTGAAAAAAAAATATTTTATCGATTAATAAATGGAATCGCACGTTTACTTCAAACTTTAATCAAATGTAAGCTGTACTGTAGTGTGTTTTTTAAAAAGTATATTAGAGAAAACATATATTATAAAACGTCCGGTTTCTATCATCCGGGCTAAAGTCTAAAGAAAAATAATTAAACTGAGTCTATGAGGTAATACTGCTTACTATAAATGTTATGCATTAAGTACGATATATTGTTTGCTGTTGATTTTTATTAAATATAATCACAAATCATGATAGACATGATGGAAATGGAGTATACAAATATATCTGACTTGTAAAATCTATAATTTCTCAATTTGAAATTTTCCATGTGAAAATCTTTCAGATAAAAATATATAAAGATATAACATCAGCATCTTATATATAAATATCCAGATTCAGATCTGCTAAGGATCGGTATTAAAGTATTAAGATATCACACTACCACGGAATTAGATAAGATTGCTATCTTAGTCCGTGATACTACGCAATTATTAGAAAACTTATTATGTATTCTTGTCAGGTTAGAAGATCCGAGAGAAACAACAGCTAAATACGCTGTTTACGCATTGTTTTATTGCTTGTTTACCTGTAGTGTCAACAGCACAAAACGCATATCTTGTCACTCTTTTAAACAAGGTGAATACTTCACCGGGCGTGATTGATGTTACTTACGTTTTTATGTCAAATTATCTTTTGTCTTTGTACTGGTTCTGTGAAACAGGTTTGTTTACCGGTATTTTTGTGTTTACATTTTTGTTATAAAATAGTGCGAAAACTAATAACGAAAACAACGAAACAACTTACCCTTGCAATGTTTCAATCTGACCTTAACTTATGACATTTGTATTACGTGTTGCTCATATTCTGTAACTCAAGTGTGACTTTGAACAAAATAAGTCAATAAGACCTTTCGATGTATTGTTAATTGTAATTATCAACGTCGGTATATATATATCCTGTAAGAAAACACTCGCGTGTGAAGCTGTAATTTATTAATCGAATTTGATGGTCCTTTGAAGACGACGCATGCCACCTTGTTAAGAATAACTCATGGACCATTGTCAATTATATTACGTAACGGGATAAGTATAATAGCTTACCTGGCAGATACAGAACACAGATAATTACCTATAATTAGTGACACCTGTCAATCAATGAACTAGTCGATTTAACACGCGAGTGTTAAGGTTGAAGAGTAGTGATGTAGGGAATTAATTGGTGATTGACAGACACCTGTTCTTTGTATTTCCCGAGTCCCACCGTTCAAGCTAGTTTTTGCCTCGTCGGGTTAGCGGACTCGCCATCCAGGATGTTCCGATGGCCGGCGCGGGGTAACCAAAAGGAGAATTTGTGATATATAACATGTCCTCGCGAAAATCATGAAAAGTTTACGCTAAAATAATCTTGTTTGCAGTGATAAACATGCATATCACGGTGATCAGTTGAGGGCAGAATAATAATCAATGTCAACATGAAATAAATGGTTATACTGGTTTACGCATTTTCATTTTAGAACTGAAATTAAAATTCAATATACAACATGAAAGAGGGGAAAGTACTAGTTTTAGTAAGAAAGACAGAAAAATAAAGAAGTTTTTTGAATTCTCATAAAGTATGTGTCGACCAATTAGTGAATACTTGTAACATTTTATTCGTATTAATTAAATAGTACAGTCACATCTAGAGTGATGACGCACGGTATTGTTTACTATATCTGAAACGTGTGTGTGATGTTACAGATTTATGACTTTAACTTAGCAGCAACGAAAAAGTAAATTCATACACAAGTTGATGACCTCATTTTTCCAACTTCTGCATATGTAAAATACACCTTCTCCCACGCCTCACAGGTGCATCTTCGTTTTGGCTAATGAAAAGATATGCTTTCTTTACGTACCTAAGGAAACACATTTCAAACACTCTGTTATTCAGAAACGTCACTATAGTGTCATCTTTTTTTAAAAGCAGTGTCACTAGGGTAACGTCACTAGTTTAGTCACACAGTGCATTGGGATTGCAATCACAACTTATTTGACGATAGGAAAATATGGGAGATATGTATTTAAATAGAGAAATATCAACCAATGGGATTAGATTTTTAAAGTTGAGCACTCAGCAAGGCCTCACGCTATACAATTATTTCAAAAATCTGACCCCCGGGTTGGGATTTTACCGTCTACATTACACAGGAGTTATATATTCCATGAATTATTTGAGGGTATTTGATATAGGCTGTAATAAACAAAGCTTCGTATAAAAAGGTATACACTTTATACAATTAGTTAACGTGATATCAGGATTTTGCAGTAAATGCCTCAATAGGCGCTAACTACGCATACGTATATACTGGTCCTATGCCATATCGTCTACTCGGTAGTGAAGCGGACGTAAAACCTATCAATCAATCTATGCCATACGTGTACGTGTGCTGGAGGCATATTGGTGTTCGCTTTTGCGATGTGACCCCTTTCCATGGCATCTAGATCTTTTTTCATAGATTTACCTCATTTGTATGTTACAACACAGGCACTAAAGTAACCATTCCAAACTTGCTTTATCTGTGCAAGGAAAGATAATTTATTNGGGGAGGAGGTATGTATACAAATTCAAATTCAAATTCAATTCAAATTAGTTTATTATAGTGTCACATGTAAAAGATACAAGTATTACAATCTTTAAAATATGTCTACTCACCCATCCTTACATTCTAGACTGTAAAAGTATTACATATATGCATACATTTATGAATTTAAAACAAATTGCCAATATAAAACTACAAAAATAATTGACATTAAAAGACACATTACTGCTTAATTATAGATCAAGTTGCGACGTCGGTTAAGAATATTAACACAGGTTTTGGCACGGGACCTCGCCAAGTAAGGGTTGCTTAGAATTACAACTAACTTTTCATCTTTACTCATATTGTAAAAATCACTTATGTAACGAGGCGATTACTACCCAGAATAGTGTAAGGAACGATAGTTTGGGTAGAGATTGATAACGAGGGTGAGGAAATGTTTGAAAAAAGTATTAACGAAGGCCGTTTTAAGCAAAAGATTGTATCCTGGATAAAAAAGCGCAAACTGTAGTAGTATTAACTTTTCTCATAATGTGCCAATTATGGCTACGAATATTAAGTTGTGGACGTCATCAGGGTAACATAAGATGTAATATGTATAGTATTACGCCCTATAAACACAAGAAGGTCAGACAGGCTTAATGATCAGGGTTAAAGGGAAAAAAGGTCAATAATTGAGCTAAAAATAGAAAATCATTAACTTATTTATCCAGATGCATGATCTTTTTTAATATGCAGTATTCCGGTTATCATAATAATCTATGTAAATTATAAAACTTTATTTTATGCAGTAAAATAAGGTTTGAAAACATTGAAAAGTTAGATAAATGTCATTGACACTACGATCAATGTATATCAGATCGTCATCCGGATATATGAGGTCAGTGTCACCTACCACCAACGTCGTTTTTATAATTGTTTAAAGATGGTGTCACATATATGTTGACCTACATTTTACCGGGTGAAGACTTGGCAATTGACTTGTGTGTGTATTTACTTCATGGAAAATCTACACAGTCCATCAACATTATACATGTACTTTTAAATATGAAATTCATTTATTTTACAACAATTATGAAACAACTTATTTCAACTTATTCAATCACTCTTGTTGGCCCGGATGTTAGCGCACAGGGGTCTTAAAGAGTACCCAAAGAAAACCCGCGCGGTCGGGCAAGTCATCCTATACCTTTTCACAAGACGATTTTATATCACTAAAATGGTTAGAAAAATAGGCTATATCAGAAAAACATTGAGGGATAGTCTGAAGTTGGTTAAACATTGACGGATCCAGAGACCTCTGTTGGGGGGGG